GGATCCGACTTGGTTTTTCGGATCGGGTTCGGATCTTTAAAAATATCCGTCCGATCCGGTCCTTTCGGAACACTAGCTACCATTCATTAGTAAAATTTTGATCAATTCCGGCCTATTCCGACCCTAAATTTTGGTCGATCTGCTGAACTTTGGTTGCTCCACTAATCTATTCGTATGCAATGGGAGAAAAGACTAGAACCATTATTCTACCGTTACATTGCATTTGACCTTCATACAATTCATTCGAATAATATTATTCAATGTGATTTACATAGTGGCAATATGAGATTTAGGATTTGCAACTTCGATTAATCTAAAACATTAGACAGAATCAGGGGAATATAGCTCCGGAAGTTTTGCAAGGAAAACTATTCACTTAAGCATCAGATATTTATTCTTTTGGAATGATTATGTGGGAAATTTCATCGGGAAAAGTTGTATTTTCCGATTATAAAGATAATAATTTAAATTGACAATAGGAATTCGTGAAGGTTTGAGACCAACAATTATTAAAGGAACATCATGTTTGGAAAATCTTTTAAAGAAATGTTGGGATGAAGATCCAGAAAAACGGCCGTTAGCTATAGAAATTCATGAAACTATTTTAAAATCTGATAAAATAATAGTTTTTAACTTTAATAACACGGAAGAGAATCCTATTTATACTAGCAAATTCATTAGTTATGTTAATCAACAGTCACAAAATACATAACTGTTAATGTATGATGAAATTATTTCTAATAATAATGTTTGCATCGAAAACATTGATAAGAACTAAAATTTATTAGTGCTGTAGTGTAAAAAACTCATTGAATGTTAGTGAGTGAATAAATAAATATTTTTTTTAACTTTCATAAAATATGTATCATAATTTTCATAATTTTGATTAATCAAAGTTTCAAGATAATATAAAGGTTCAAATTTTAATTAGAGTTAGGTTTTTGGAGATTCTAATTTGTACTTAGCATCCCAACATAAATTATCTAGTAGGTTTTTGATATAATATTCCTGGTATAATTACTACTGGTTAAAATTAACAATACTCTTATATAAATAATATTATATTTCAATTCAGCTCTACTAGATTCAAACTCTAATTATGAAATAGGTCTTATTTTTTTAAAAAAATTAATTTGCAAATCAATATAGTGTATTAAACACTGTATATATACATATATATAAGCATTAAATTGGTTTTTTTTCATTTTATTATAAAAAAAATAATGTGATGCAATGATTTAACACCAATATAGAATTAATATATTAATAAATTCACATTTATATGAAGATTTGATAAATCAAATTTATTTAATATCTGTATTACGCTTAATTGCAGCAACATTTATATTAGAAATTTCAGCTGTTCACAAAATAATCAATAAAAATTATAATTTATAAATTTTATTGACACCATAACTTTTGCTTTAGCTTTTATACACTTTTTTTGCTTTTCTTGGTCCACAATCAGTCCACAAACTAAGAAAATCGATCCTTTTATGTTGATTTTTTTCACGTTCAATTTCATCATGCGGAAATAATGCCGCAGGAATAAATATTGTTAACATTATAATCAACAAAAGGAATATCCACATTACAATAAAATTTGCGGCACGAAGTTGGCATGCCTTATAATAATCAGGAGATATGTAAGTCGCACTCGATGGACAATAAAATGGAATACCTCCAACATCATCACGTGTGAAAAAGGTGTAAACGACTGGTTTCATTTAGATTAAGGTGAGATGCGAATATAAAAGGATTCATGGGAGGCAATTTGATTTTTACCTGAAACGGATAACCATAACAGTGTCCAAAACCTAAAGTTAGAATATACAAGATTTAAAGTGAGAATAAATAAATAAATGGGAGATCAAGTATTTCAAATATTTACAAAAAAATAGAAATAAACAGTTACAATAATTTTAATTCTATTCCCTTCATTGTAAGATCTGGCTTATAACAAAAATTGAAAACCGACGAGAGAAAAATCCAACCTTTTAATTTAAATAATTCGTGAAAAGAATTGTTTAAAAATTAAACAAGAATATTTGATAAAAATTGAATATTATGAAACACGAGAGTATACTTACATGGTAAGATGAGAGATAACACGAAATAACTAAATTTAGCAAAAGGAAAATGTTATAAATTTGATAATTTGATAGAGATAAAAAAGATTTGAATGATTTTGGATCAACTTACACGTATTCCATTGTGATGTTTAATTTATATGGATCTCCAACATTTAAAAACGTTATAATTTTTAAAATTTCTGATAAAGAATGAATGGTTTGACATAAAAATTTAAATCTTTCTAATAAATAATCTAACAATTTATTTTCAAATAGCAAATATTTACCCAACGCTGGACAAGCAAAAGCAAACAATACAGATAAACTTATAAATATTGCAACAATAATTCTCAGGATTCTTATAATCTCCATCCTTATCGATCAACTATGTACGTGATTCGAATAAATATTTATTATCGCTATGTATTAAAGTATGCCGTCAGTTTTGTCACGGAGCTTTTTTATTTTGAATATTTAGGTCTAAGCCTCAGAGGCTTATCGTCATGGTTCGATAATTTATATTTTTACGTAAGCAAGATAGTTTAATATCATTTATAAGAATATTTAAATAACAGGATTTCGTTTATTTTTTATTTTTTATTTTTTACAGTCAGTAATCTCATGTTAACCATATCGATACTGACATGTGACTCAACTCGTAAAATCACGTCTTAAAATAATAATAATAATGTATGTATATATGACAATAATAACGCATCGCATTATCAACCAATAAATAGTTATTAAACTAATCTTAAAAAAATTACACGGACGAAATAAATAAATGAAATTTTACACTTGTACATTTATTTTATAACACTGCAATTCGCTCCTCGTCAATCTCTTGTTTTTCTTTCCTAAATCTTTGTGGTACATTTCCTTTTCCAGGTTCAATTCTATCTTTTGGTTTAGGTAAAATATCGGTAAAAACTGCTAAAACGAAAATTATTGAAATTATAGCAAGTGCCCACATTGAAATTAAATTTGCCAGACGAACTTGGCATGCTGTTTGAATCAATGATGAACTGTAACTATAGTCGTCTGGACATAATAATGGGATGCCTCCCATTTCGTTAATTGTTAGAATCGTATATGCGGCTATTTTACAATGAATGGATTAAATTTCAAGATAAAAATTATTATAATCATATATACTTGATGGATTTGATGCTTACTTGAAATTCCTATCCAGAATATTGGCCAAATACTATTTGGATTTAAGAAAAGTTCTTTAGATGTTTAGCTTAATAAAATTCATAAATTAATCTTTACCATGGTTTAACTTACATTAAAATTAATCTCAGACTTTCTGGTGGTGTTCTGATTCCCCAGTTACAATTTCCAGTAATTACCAATATTATTATACCTAAAAATGAATTAGTTAATGCATGATATAATTGAAATTGTTTAAAAGTAATATATACTTACAGGGTAATATGAGTGAAGTAATGATATACCTATAATTCCCATGTTAAAAGTAAATAAATTATAAAACATCTGTATATTATTTTCTTATTGTAATTAAACTACACTATAACTACCCATTTTCGATATATTGATTAAACTGAAGTAGTCCGCCACTTTGTCTAAAAAGCTCAAATTTGGCTATTGCTATATCATCGTCCAAGAGATCATAATCAGAACTTTAAAGATAGTCACTATATTCAAATTAATTACAACAGATTAAATTATTACCAAGTGACGGACAAAGAAATATCGCAATAACCAAAATTACGTCTAAAAATGCCGCAAAGATTAATTTAACCCCTTGAAAGTCTGCCATAACTGAACTTTTAGATACTCCGTATGTAAAATGCAATGATTTTTACATGAAGTTGATTTTTCTAATACAGTTTTTTTTTAATTTATTGTCTAAAATTCATTAGATTTAATATTGATATACCAAAATGATTCGAGAAACGCCAGGCCAAATCAAATTTTAGAAATTTTAGAAAAAGGCTTAGGCATGCCTTTTAAAATACGTGTGGCTTGTGCATAGCCTATCTTGTGTCTTGGAATCTTGATGATTATGAAAAACAACCGGAATTTTCGTGGACAGTGGGTCCTTTTTTATATAACGATAATGGTAGGTTACATTTTTAGTCTTGTCATTATATCCCATTTGAGTTCTTATATCAGTGGTTCTTGTATCGATGCTAACGATTATCGTTACACTTTTCAATGTTTACAACCAAATTTATGGATAAAAGTTTAGGATCGAATTTAAATCCGAACTTATTTAATTGGCGATCTCGGCTTCAGGTTTAAATCCGCTTAAATCCGAATTATTAAATCGATATCCAGTTTTTTTTTTTTTTTATTCTACATATTTAAATAATCCACTTTGCGTTAGTTGGTGAAAAGAATAATAAATTGCACCAGACTTAATTAGCATCGTTGTATTTGTGTTAGTATATGTCAATACGCGTATATTTACCTGATTACGCTCTCGATAACAAAAACATTCAAGCTATGGATTTATCATTATAAAATTTATGGGTGGTCGAATACTTGGGACGTTATACGACCGACACTGTAATTCACATGACTTCGGTGGATTCAGTTTCATTTTTCAAATTCGGCTGTTTTCATAAATTTTGGGACGACTAAAAAATTTTCCGATGAATAAATAGATAAGTTACGGAATTGCACCGAAGTATAGTCTGCTGAAATCAAAAAACTTATCAATTCGGTTTTCGGCGATTTTTTCATCTATCCCAAAGTTTATGAAAACAGCTGTAATTCGGATTTAAATCTAACTTCTATTCATGGCAATAATGAAGCGAAGGTAAAATTATATCTATATTAAGTACGTACATTTAAATACGTAACAATAATTATAGATGACTATTGAGACAGATTCGGATATTTTTATTTTGAAAAAATGATATTTTTATAAATTAAATAAAGGTCGAGACTCCGCTAGGACAAGGCCAAAAAAGATCAAACCAATCAAAATTTTACATGTAATTTAACTCTGGTTGATTTAAAGTTAGTTGAACCTGATTGTCAAGAAATATATTATCAAATACAGTCGCACTCCCATATAAACACCTATATAAGTACATCACCTATGTAAGCACTTTTATTTTTTGAACCAACTACTATTAAATATATAAAATTAATTCTTATTAATATAAGCACATCATATGTCTATATAAGATCACTTTTTGTGGGTCCCGATGGTGTATTATATAGGAGTGCAACTGTATATTGCGGCAGATTTATGAAAAATTCCAAAATCTGAAAATTTTGCTACACGTAATAAAATAATACAGATTTTTGACTGAGATCATCAATGCCTTCAGGTTAGAGTGTGTCATTACAATAATTTCCCCCACCACTTCTGATTGGCTGTACTAATTATTCAATTATTGGAGTATTTATATTAGTAATCAAAAAAATTTTCAAGTAAAAATTCGCGCTGTTAGACTAGAATTAATATTTTGGCATTATGTGTACATTATTGGACAGACGACAAAAAATAATAGTCAAATTTTTTTTTTGTCGGAATTAATGTCACTCCATGTGCTGCGAAGCAGCACTTGAGTGAAATTAACTCCGAT